CAAACTAACATGACTCCTGTCAGATTGGCAAGTGGCTTGGCTGGGGTTGTCCTTACCCGGCAGAGGGCAAGGAGGGGCCTGGCTGAGGCTGCACTTTGGCAGCAGCAGCCCCACTTGTCCTTTCAGTGACAGCACAGTTAGAGAGGGACAGTGGGCAGGCACAGCTCCACAGGGACTGTCACTCACCCCGGCCATGTGAGGTATCCTCGGTGGCTGCTGCCCCTCTGAAGAGCAAGGGGTACTGGCACAGCACAGCCAGGGATGTCCATGGGCACCCAGGTGTCTCCTGCAGAGGCCGGGTGTCCTTGGTGGGGAGGATGCTGAGCAGAGGTGCCAGCCTGGTGGAAGCACCCTGGGGTCTCCTCTGTCAGGGTGGCTGGTAGAGGACCGATGTCGGTTCCAGCTGTCCTGGCTGTCCCTTGCAATGCAGAGCACATGCCTGCTGCATGTGGGACTGCAGGAGAAGGAGACACAGCGGGTGGGTGAGGTCTGTGGATGAAAAAATGGTTTTTTTCCACCCAGGGACCAGAATAAAGCCACTGGGGTGTTAAAATCCCTCGGCTCCTCAGGTGAGGAGACTCATGCACTGGTGGTGAGGCAGGTGCCTGTGGGGGTCTGGGGCATGGCTGGCCAGGGTGCCAGCAGGAGGGACGGCACAGCTGAACCCTCGGCACGCGGGGCTGATAACGGTGCCAGCGCCGACGGGCGCTGCACAAAGCAGCAGCCTCATCTCTGAGTCGGGATAAACTGTTTGGCCTTTGGACAAGATTATTTCTGTTCAGAACACGATTGTTATCACTTAATTGAAAATAATTATCCAATGCAAATTGGCTTCAAGTTGGCAGCTGAGTTTAGACAGCACGTTTCCAAGCTGTCCTGAGGAGAGCTGAGCAAGAGGCTAAGACTGTCCACAGGGCTGAACAGGGAGAATACGGGGGAGGCAGATTTTCCCTTTGCAACACCTGCACCCCCCAAGGAAAATGGGGGGGCCTGCCTGGTGTTTTCATGAACCAGGGTCCTCCTGTTTGCCTTACCAAAGCAGCCACTCTGACAGTAGTGGGAGCATTGGTGCTGGAACCAGCTGCTCGAGAAAGCTCTGCTCAGGTGTGCCAGGGACATTGTTCACAAGCCTGTATCCCATCTGGCAGTGTCTGCTCCCAGGATTTCGTCACATGGAGGAAGCAGCTCTCCTGCTGCTGTTGGCTGGGAGAGCCGCAGTGTGGCTGGTGCCATAGAGGGGCTGGGGCACAGCTGGAATGTAGAAACCTCTGAAGAGTCCAGCAGGAACGGCCCCCCTGGAGCTCTGACCCAATCAGGCACCAAAGCCTCAACTAGGCTTGGTCCTCTTCCACTGGACCTGTTCTACCACACACAATCAACCTGTCACTCCAAACGTCACCTGTGTCTGCAGGTTCTCATCAGCGAACCGAGGAGAACCAGAGACCCCTGCTTGGTGTCTCTTTGTAATTTCCCACCCCCCCACACACCCCTCAGTGGGGCGAACCTTCCCCTTCTGGGGTCCCTGTGGCCACTCCTGCCTGCAGGCTCCGTCGGCTGTCTGGGGGCTTCCTACAGCTGCTGCACCTTTGGCGTTTTCTCCTCTTCCTCTTCCTTGTTTTCTGCCTGAACAGGTTTGGATTAGACAAGACCTTCCCAAAGGGACACAATGCCCACACCAGTGCACAAGTACACCAGAGAATACTGGGTTTCCACAACAGTTTTTCTATGATTTGACCAGTCTGGCAGGTTAATTAAAAAAAATCCCAATGTTTAAATGCAGTTTCATCAGGAGAAGTGTAAAACCTCTGTAAGAATCTCTGTCAGGACTTTTCAAACCCTGCAAAGCACAATTAGACACAGTCAAATATTGCCCCGGTTAAAGACTATTAATTTTCCTTACATTTGTCATGAATTAATTTTTTCCGCCTGTATCAACAGTGTTTCCTTTATAAATACAACTGGCTCCTTTACATTGAAAAATTAAATTTGCTCTGATAATGAACCAAGGTGCTAATAATCATTTTGCAATGCAAAAAAAGTGCAATTACTGGCTGCTGTGCCACGCAGTGCCATGGATGGTTGTCGCTGACCCTGCTCTGTCACTGTCACCCATGTTCCCATCCAGAAGGTGCAGCATGAGAGCCCTGGGTGCTCAGGTGGCAGTGTCCACCTGTTCAGGTGAACTGAACCTCAGGTTTGCTCAGTGTCCTTGAAGAGCTGCTCAGTGACACGTGGGGTGGAACAAGGTCTGTTGGTGAGAGTGAGCCCAACTTGAGGCACAGGGGTCTGTGTGATCACCGTGCACCACTAGGGCTGGGTATGGCATGGCCACAGACGCACACAGTTAAGTGACATTCCCAGCAGATTCTACAACAGTTGGACAGAGAGACTGACATTTCTGGTAGACTTCAGGGAAAGGAACGCTTCTAGGAGGAGCCAGCCCTGTGCTGTGTCACAAAGACACATCCAATTCCTCCCACAGGTGTGCCACAGACACAGACACCTCAAATCACAGTGCTCCTTTCTTCCTCAACCTCACTGTGTAGTGGCTGCAACAAATGATGGACCCAATACTCCCTTTTCCCCTCTTCACTCCTGGGACACCTGCCCCCATTACCCAACAAGACTCTGACCTTCTGATCCATCCATCTTGTCTCCTCTGCAGCACCAGGGCTGAGCTGTGGCCCTTTATTTATTCACGCAATGTAGGTTTCCTCATGCTGCTTCACCAGTGCACATCAACTGTGACCTCGAGACACCGTCCTCTCCTGGGATGAGCATGTTTTCCAGTCCCAGGCATCTCTGGAGTAAGGGCTGACAGTTCTTTAAAGCGGGGGGGAAGCAGGCGGGAGGAGTGACAGGCTGAAGTACATTGTGATTTAATAGGATAAAGCAGAGCTTGATGGAAGCTCAGCCGACCATTCTGGGCCCAGCATAGGACTGTAATGCAGAGCTGCCCTTTCACAGCACCTGACGTACTGATATTTGTGCTGCTGGAAAATCCATCACCCCTTTTTGCCATTTTTCTCATCCTCTATTCCTCACTGAATGCAAACATATCTCCTGCTGCATTATTCTTGCACTGAGCTCTGTAAGATCCATCAGCTGCCTGACAGAAGCCTTACTGGGAGTGCTGGGTGGCACTGGTTACCAGTGACAGCTGGCACTAGACACAACCTGCTTTGTCCCAAGCAGTGCCAGACAGAGCCCTGGGCGCCAGTTTCTGTCACACCTGATTTACCCATGTGCTTGCCTGTAGAACAAACCAGCCTCCTTTGTGTCCCTCTTTCCCAGCTAGCAGCATTATCCAGACTCCCTGGTTCTCCTCCAAATGCTCTGGTGGGTGCTCCACTGCAGATTCCTGCAAAGCCCGACACCAGTCAGTGCCAGGGCTGATGTTGTTACCTGCTGGGACCCAAATACACCTGTGGGTCATGCCCCAGGTTGGATGTCCAGCTTCAGGATCTCGTTTCTTTTCCCACAGCGGCAACAAATCCCGGCCTGTGCTGAAGGATGTTCCCTCACCCAGCTCCCATCTGCTTCCAAGTGTCACTGCATCGCCTTTTTCCCTTCCCATGGCTCAAAAAAACCTGCTTTCTCTGTCTTTTACTCACCGTCCTGCAACCGCAAGCAGCAGACATCTATCAGAGCAAAGGCTCTGCAGGGCTGGGTACCTGCAGGACTCACAGGGACATCCAGAGGCAGTTTTACCACAAACACATCATCTGGTGCTGGTAGTAGGTGCTGCCAGTGACAGGCAGGAGACACAATCTGCGGCCAGGCTTCAGTGGGTCTCACCCAAGTACCTGTGTAGGTCACCTGGCCTAAATTCCCTGTCACTACCTTCCCAAAGTAAGGCAGGTTCTGCCCACCAGCACCCAATGGGGTTTGAAAAACTCTGTATCAGTTGCCCAAGGTGAAATCTTCTTGGCTGAAGCCACTGAACATCAGAGAAAGAGCTCAGGACTCCTGGCTGATCTGACTCCTGCCATGCTGCTGAGGCACCTGCTCATCAGGGGAGGAATTAGGAAGAACTCTGACTTGCTCCACACCTGAGCACCCTCTGGGACTGCACATGGTGACATAAAGGCACCTCTTATGTGCAGGAAATTCACTCCCTTCAAGACAACTTAGTTGGACAGGTGATCAAACTGACCCATCAGAAAAGCTGGAGTTCATCTTGATACCTCACCTAAAAGGATCCTTCTCCCTGAATGCCAGGTTTGTGCTGGTTTGTCTAAAGGCCAATGGAACTTTTACTCAAATAGAACCCAGTATTGAAAACCAAAAAGAGACACAAAACACAGTCCCCAGGAAAAGAGTAATTTCCATGCTAAGGGCAAGCATTTTTGGGGATGGAATTAATTTTTTTTCATTAAGGTTAAAACCGATTTTTTTGTGGTATCTCATGAACTTTTCAATCAAGCAATCAATGAAGTTAAGCAAAAATCAATTTTTGTTGCCAAGTACACACTGAAGCAAAGCTGGGCATTATGTTCCCAAGTACTCTGCAGGTGTAGCTCTGCTCCAAACACCTCTGAGATGGGGTGACAGGATCACCAGAATGCCTGTGTTCTCACTGGAGACTTTGCCAAACAAAAACCTGATGAATTTGGGGAGTACCAGTATGGGATACCACTGGCAGAATGACAGTCCTGAATTTTAACTTAGGTGCCATTTCCCTTTCCAGGTACCCTTGAAGGGTACAAATAGTTTCTAATTTTAAAACAGAACTGCAGCATGAGGAGAGGACTTGCACCTCAGTGACACTGTGCTGTTAGTTACCACCAGCCGCTCAAAAAAGGAGTGGCTACAGTAGAGAGCAGGTCACAGAGCAGCAAGGTATAGTAATTTCCTTTTCAAAACAGTAGAGTATAAATACTATCCTTTTTTTCCTTTTCTCTTGCCTAAGGTGACAGTTTCAGCTCAGGAAAGAGAACACAACACTGCTTTCAATTATACTTGGAATGCAGGGAAATGAAGAACAAACCCACTTTTTTTCATATTCCTCATGTAAAGTTTTATTTGGCTTAGTCCTTTGATGAAGCATTTCATTCTTACAAACCTTAACACAACACGCTGAATTCCAGTGTACAAAAATAACTGTATTTGAAAAAAATTATTAAATTTTAGCACAGTATGACTGGAATCAAGTATGTTCTTCATACTCTGCTCTCTTTTCTCCAGAAACAGCTTCCACATCAAGGGGAACAAGGACGGATTTAGTATGAGATGTAAACTCTGTTCCATGCCCAGCTGCTCACTCTGCCCAGCTGGCAGGGGCAGGGATGGGGCTCGGGGGAGCCCCGAGAGCCGAGCACCGAGGGCAGTGGATTTGTGGTGCCACATGAGAGTGTGAGGCAGGAAACTGCTGCATCCCAGAGTGCAAAGCAGCGACTTGGCTGCCCCTTCCAGGAAGGAGGGAAAGTGCCAAGTTCCCCTCTGCGCTCTGGAGAGGAATGACGGCTGGGGGTATGTGCTTTACCCCCCACGTTCCTGCTCTCCATCCTGACCCCTCCTCATGCAAGTCTCCCTGGCGCCGGCTCCGAAGGCGCCGTGTTCGATGGCAGCAGATCCTGCTCTGACAGCAGAACCACATCTCACCAGTGAAGAAACAGACCCTGCCAAATCCAGCACGCCCCCCACAATCCCCAAGCAAAGAAAAGAAACATACAGCCTGTTCTGGAACCACCCCACGTGGGAGCACCGGGACCCACTGGCCACAGCAACAGTTCTCAGAGACAGAGTGGTCTGTGTCCGGCACGCTGGCTCAAGGATGGGCTCAAATTCATGTGCTAAGAGAGAGACAGAAATAAAGAGAAGGCAGAGCCAGAGCCAGCAAATACCAGTGCTACCTGCCCATCCCCCTGTTACCAGGATTTCTGTTTGGACTTCTTCCTCTTCTGTTTTATGAGGAATAGATTGTCCTTGCTGTCAGGACTAGCATCTTTCTGCTTTTTCCATTTCTTCTTCCTTTTGACACCTTCCAGAGGCTCCTGCACACACCCAGCCTTTCTGCCTGAGAACGCCTGAAAAATGGACTTGTGCCGAACCCTGCCACCCTTGCACAGCTGCTGCTTGCACCCCCGAGGGAAGTCTCCCTCTGGATCACAGCGGATTTCAACACCCCTCCTGTTCATCTTCTCTCGGGATTTCCCTGCCTGGGACACCTTCATCTTCTTGTACTGCTCGCCATCCCTGTTCAGTTTCCCGTGTTGTCCTTTCCAAGGTTTGCTCTTTTTCTTGTGGCTGTGCCCCTTGAGCTGTTCTTCCTGCCATGGTGTTTCGGGCTGTTCCGGCAGAAGGCCAGCTTCCTGCAGGTCTGGAAAACAGAGCCTATTAGTTCCAAACCTAAAAACCCCAAAACCTGGTGCCCAAGCCATCACAGCTCTCCTTAAGTATGTATGAATTGGACAAAAATTTATCTCTGACAGATATTTTCATGTCACCAGCCTATAATCTAAACAAATTACGATTTAATTCCCTTCCTGTTATTTTATGGCATTTTTAATGTCTGTGGATTTCTCATAATTAAAACTTGACAATACCCACCGAGAGACTTTGTCATAATCAATTTCCATGATAGACATGGATGAATAAAGTCACAAATCTTTTACTACTACCAGACTACCTCTTCAAATCCATGCACCTTTTCCTGATGCTTGAAAATAATTCCACAATGTTTCTAAAAAGCAGCAAATGGAGAACTGAAAGGTGGGAGGGATCTCCCAAACCACACTGTACCTGCCACCTTTCTTTTTAACCTATTTGCTCTCCTCTTGATATCGCATTCATCATCGTAGTAGTAGACGAAGGGAGAAGTGGGGAACATGCTCCCCTGCATCCGCTTCTCCGAGCACTCCTGCAAAACACATTTCAGGTCACCAGAGTCGGCTAAGTGTCAATTTTCCTGGAAGAGAAATGGGCCAGGTCCTGCAGGGGCTGGTCTGTACCTGCAGGGGGTGTGGCCAGCACTGACATTTTCATTACCAATCCGTAATCCCTCCTGTGCATGCCCAAATGCTGGAACTGTGTGAGCACACAGCAGGAGTCCTCTGTCTTTCTGCAGTTACCACACGTCTGTAGCCTCCCCCAGCAGACAAGAAGGAGCAGGTGAGGACAGGTAAACACCAGGTGAGTTGCTGACAGTGCTGTTGGACACAAGGACTGGGCTGTCCCACTGCCAGGCAGGACCCTGACACCCGCTCCGCTGCTTCCCACTGCTCCCACACACCCGGCCCCCTTGGAGACAAACAGTGCCATGGCAGAGCAGCCCTGGCACCTGGCTCATTTGGGGTGAAGCCATCTGCAGAGGGGTGGCAGGCCAAAAGGGGGTGAGAAGCAATGCCAAGGCAGCATCTCCCCTCAGCCTGACAGCAGCCAGGGTGGGCACTCCAACTATGTACCATGTTCTCACAGGGACAAACCAAAAGTAAATCCCGCTTCAGGATGGTGTGCAGGGGAGTGCAGGGAAGAGGAAGAGGAAAAGGAAGAGAGCCCTGAACAGTCAGCTGAGGTAAGAAAGGGGCTGGCTCCGACACCACGTGTGTGTCAGCCTATTCCCCAAACTCTTGGATCAGGCATGTGAATTTTTTCACTGGTGTACACACAGTTTTAGCCATGTCATGTAAGCCAGGCTGACTGGGATGCTTCCCACAGTTCTGCCTTTTTTCCAGGTACCATGTAACAAGGTGCTTTATTATCCTTGCAAACTGCTTGCTACCTGCTGTGCTTTGCTTCACCACCTTTCTCTTCTTGGATACTGCACAGATCATAGAAACGCAGAATCCCAGAAATGTTTGGGTTGGAAGGGACCAAAGCTCATCCAGTTCTACCCCTTGCCATGGGAAGGGACACTTTCCACTAAATCAAGTTGCTCCAAGCCCCATTCGACCTGGCCTTAAACACTTTGAGGGATGGGGCAGCCACAGACTCTCGGGGCAACCTGTGCCAGGGCCTCACCATCCTCACAGCCAAGAATTTCTTCCTAACATCCAGCCTAACTCCACTCTCTCCCAGTGTGAAGCCATGCTAGTGAGCTCTGTGCCTCACAATCTCCAAGAGCTGTCAGGAGCTTTTGCCCACCTGGTGTCTGCACCACAGGGCCAGCAGCTCTCCTGCATGTGCCATTGCTACCCCTCAGTGCCACTCGGGCACTCCCTGTCGCTGTGTGTCCTCCTGCCCGCTTCCCTCTCCCTTCCAGAGGCGCAGTGCACCAGAGATGCAATTTGGATGTATTTTGTATTTCCCAGCTTCTATTTGGCATGCGCTTGGCTGAAATTTAATGAAGAATCCCTTTTTTTGCAGGTTTTTTGCCTCTGTTTCTGGGAATGGTGTGCACATGGAAAGATCTGGTATCTCTGTCCTCTTGTGTTGCTATCAGCTCATCCCCTTTCACTCAGTCATTGCTCAAGCTGTTTCTGCTCTTTGTACACTAGTAAAAATACTTTGTCTTTCTGAACTTCGAGAGCCATAAAATGTCCTCGAGTCACTTCATTCCCTTGCTGATTTTATACAGTTTCTACCATTTCGTATGCAAGTAATTACCACCAGCTCCTCCCATATAATTTCTAATTATTTTTACAGCAGCCTTAAAAATTAAATAATTAATTTACAGCATCCCTAATAATTACTAATTAATTTTACAGCAGCCTTACTTGTATCCATGTACGGCTGTCTTCTTCCAGTGTAACTTTCTGACAGTTTAGTAAAATTAAAGTAACCTAAAGGCCCAAGCTTTTAACAAAACATATCGGGTAGTTGTAGGGGCTGACACACAAGAGCAGGTGGAAGGGAAGGGAGGAATTTGCTTGCAATTTGCTGGTTTTAAGCCACAGAAAACAATAAACTAAACCTATTCAGTTCCTGAATAGCATTCGTTTTCTGGAATACTTGCGGCTCCTGCCCTTATTCCATGAAAGAAAAACCTCAAATATTTGCTTTGTGTTGGCATTTGCAGGTACAGAGCTGAACTTCTCACAACAGGCACTGAAAAAGGTGATAAATATCATCAAAACAGCCTGGAAGATGCAGCACACCTCCCATTTTTACTGAAGCCACTTAAAGCTTATGACGTCTCCCTCACCAGGCTACACCTTACAGAAGGGTGATGCCAAACTTAATGTTGAATTAAACTAAGAAAAGACAAATGAGGATCATAACAAGCAGGCAGAACTGGAATGTTCCCAAAACAGCATTCAAATGGGTGGGCTGATTGAATGGTTGGGTGAAAAAACTGATGTGATGTTGAACGTGGCAGTGAGGCACTAATGGGAAAAAAGAAAGGAAAAAAAAGAAAGGAAAAAAAAAGCTGTATACAGCAACTGCCCGTTTTCCAATGTTTTCTCTCTCCCAGGCAGTCTCAAATCAATAAACCTGCCAAGGACAGATAGTAACTTTTCCTTTCCCTCCTATCTTTAAATTAGATGGGCGAGATCACTTCAAACATCAGCCTCCACCGACTGCAGCAGTGCTGCAACCACACACCTCTCGTGTGGCACCAGCTCAGCTCTTTCAGCTCTTTCTTCAAACCACACAGTGTAGCAGAGATGGATTTCCAGCCCAGGAATGTATTCCAAGATAGAGACTGCCAAGACTTACGTATCCGAAGTGTCCTTTGCGGGAGCAGTTGTAGCAGTACACGGACACAGAGCGCTCAGAGTGGGCACTGGCTGTTTTGATGGGCCCTGGCTTTGTCTGGAAGATGGAAATGGGCAAGCATTAAGCATGGTAGTATTCTGAATGATGAATTAAAAATAAATTAAAATTACATAAATATAATTTTATTATGCTTAGATCAATACATTCCTGCTTGCTGTTAGAATATTAAGTTGAAGAAGGAGCAAGTGGCTCCTGTTACTGTAATTTTGCAGAGTGAGGCTCAGCCTGAGTATCACAAATGTGGTGCAAAGAGGCATCCCCAGCACCTTTTCCACCTGGCCATGTTATTTCAGCTCTGAATGCAAGAAAATAAGGTGCTGATTTATCTCTTCCCGTCCTC